AAAAAGAGAAACAAATTGAGAATTCATCGAATAAAAAGAAGAAAAGAAAAAAAAGAAAGAAACGAATTGAGAGAGAGAGTTTTGTAATTAACAAACAGTACTTTCATTGCAAAAATTCCAGAAGACAGATATGCAAACGAGATCAGAATATTCTCTCTCTCTCTTTTTTCTTTTTTCTTTTTTTTTCTTGGGGCCGAAAGATCAGAATATTCATTTCGAATGACCATCGGTAAGTCTAATATTATATCATCAAACCAGCAATCCGTTAACCATTTCCCTATATGGCCTAGGAGACAAAGAAATAAACTTAAAATGGGGCTACTCCATTAATGATATACATATCACATAACAACCGAATTACCATAAGCTTATTAAATTTCTTAGCATCATCAACTTCATTAATCACCAGGTAGTCACTCTGGTTCAGATACATGTATTCCTTTGCCGTTATAAGATTCAATTTCTCTGTAAAGAAATGATGCAAAGAATATGAAACACATTCTCCTTTGATGTATGAAAATGAATGCATAGCATACCAGACTCAAGAACCATGTCATGTCTAGTTAAAAAGACATGGTAAGCAATAGACTTCTACCATTTTATATGAGAAATAGCAGTTGTAAACTTTCAAAGGTCCATCATGAGATATTGCGTCACAAGATGTTTACGGCTAATTAACAATTCACTAATTTTATATGTTATTAAAATAACTTGTGTCTTGTCAAAAACAAAGAGTCCAACCCCCAACTGGAAGTAGAAAGTGCAAAGGTAGTTCACCCTGAGCCAGGTGAAAAGTACAATTAAATTGCCACAAAAGCAACGTCTACTGGTGCCAATATTAATTATCAAATAAAAAATGATTGATCTCCCAGGCCCGAGTAAATAAATTGTTCTATAAGCATTGATTTAGAAAACTCAGTTAAAACAGATCATGGGTTAGATGTCAACTGCATACTAACAAAGCATGTAGCAGGAAATACCTGAGTGGGTAGAAGCTCTATAAAGAATGATATGAATGCTTCTTGAAAGAAATATAAAATTCCAAGAAATGAACACAAATAGCAATCCAAAGAGCATGGAGATTAGCCAATTTTATATAGCTTCAAGCTCATTTGTCCTAAAAACTTGAATGGTCGAGAATATTCACGAAAGATGAAATAAATACCTTACAACATGCTGGAGCACTGGCACAGAGTTGATAAAAGACATGGTATGACCTTTCACTGGCATACAACTGAACCACTCTTGACTGTTTAAAGAAAATATCAAAGAAAACATTTCAGGAGAATTATATGACATTACAACTGAAAATTCATCTTAAGTTCAAACGTTGCACAAGAAGTCACCTTTTCTAGCAGGACTATCCAGAGGCTTCAATGGTGAACCAACATTTAATATACAAAGTATAAACCAAGTGTCCAAGTCAGCACTGTGATTAATCATAACATAACAAAATGTAAAACAATCTATTCCAAGTTAAAATTGCTTACAAGTTTGGATTTTAGCACCAGATATCTTCCCCAATTTACTAAAAAGAAATTCAAATAAATTCCCCCGGAACAAATCAAAAATGAAAAGGCAAAAAAAAAAAAAAACTTCCAAGCCAACCAAGAAGTGAAATTTAGGGTACAACAGAGCAGAAATTGGATAATTACAAATCAATATCAATTGGGATACCTTCCACAACAAAGATGCATGTGTCCGTATGTATGTATACACATCTACGACTACCTTCAGCACAGAACAAGGGAAAAAATAGAGAGAAAAAATATATATACTCACAAATCGGCTAGAGTTGTCATTCCTAGATGTTTTAGCATTCCCAAATACTTCAAGTATATAATTAGTCTGAAGAATTTCACTCTCTATCCCACCACTACCACCACTAACTGCAGCCAAGTACTGCATTGTTAATTTTGCTGTCTCAGTTTTCCCAGCTCCACTTTCCCCACTGTAAGATAAGAGTTGAAAATTAATCCTTATGACCGTGCAAGCACACTACTGATCATAGATATAGGAAATACACTCAAAGAACCAATTTAATGAGGAAATCATGAAAGGAACACAGCCGACAAATAGAAGCCCATATTCCATGGCATACTTAACTAAAAGAATCAGACTAACCTTATGATTATTGATCGATTTACTCTGTCTGCAAAATAGTAAATAGAGCCAATAGATAAGATATCAGAAACAATTAACGCAAGGCTAAACAGCAAGTTAAACATATTTATGCTGAAACCAAGATGAGAGAATATATATATATATTTACCTTTCATCATTTCACTGTAAGCAGTATCTGCTAAAGCATAAACATGAGGGCTATCATCAGCTTTCTGACTATAAGCTGTGACAAAATCATTCCCATAAAGCTGGACATGTTTGAAGGGATTGAGGGCAATCAAAACTGGACATGCTTTCCTCTATAGAAAGAAAAACATGAACTGGTACATGATGGAGTGAAGTCCATGGTCCTAGCAAGAAGCCTAAGGGTATACACAAGTGAATATCATGCTTACATAAATCATATCCTGGGTATATCTGTACTTAAGATTGTGAAGGACTGTTGATTCATTCAAATAACTAATTTGAATTAAATCATCCGCTCCCTCAAGAATTTCTGGATTTGCAGGAAAGAGATCTCCTGTAGAAACTCTAATAACCTGCAGTAGTTAAACAACATAAGAGTATGTACCAACCACAATCTGGAGGGCTCAATATTAATTTATCCAATTTTCAGAGATCATCAAGTGACACTTACATTTCCATTTGCGAGGGAGACATATGATTCCTCCCCAGAAGTAGATTTCATCGTTCCAGAATCCCACTGACCATTTGGGAGCCGACACCAAACTCTTAAGTTTCTGGAACCAAAACTTCCAAACATCAATGGCTATCCTAAAAATAAAATACCCAAATATACACTGATATGATTAAGATTAAAATAAAACTGAAAAGATATTCACAAAAGTATTCACAAAACTGAAAAGTACATTTTATGCTGATCTAGAGATTCATATAACCATTCAGTATCAAGTGAAAAACAAAGAAGAATAAGAAGGAAACACAGTAAAAACCAACAAATTGGAGCATTCTTCTTCTAGATTCCACTTACCTTCTTGATGAAATACCCAGTAATATCATTAACATCCCATTCTAGCTCCCCGCCCTTCTTTACTGCAATTTTGAATAAATTCTCCTCTGTACCACGATCATCTGCCACCTCCATTCCCACACCATTCTTTCCCTCCGCTGCCTCACCACCATATGGTGAATCTTGATTTAGCTCTTTCCTCATCTTCTTGCTTCCAAAGCTATTTCTCCTCACTCGGAACTGCTCCTCCTTCCTCTTCCCTCCCTCCCGAGCCTTTACTTCACTGGGCACAGCAGAAACTTCTCCAAATTTAATACCATTCCGTCAACCTTGAAGTCAGTTGGAAGTGACCTGCGACACGAGGGTAGCCGAGCCTTGGAAGTTATCCGGCCTGGCGGTGCCGGTGGCAGGTCCTTGGGCTTTTCACTCTCATCCCGCCGTCTCAGCGACTCCAGCATCTCCTCCAGCGAGCTCTTAGCTAAGGACGTAGGTGATGCCGATAACATCATCTTTCAAAAAACAAAAATAAATCCCCCCAAATTCTCAAAAATCCCAAAACCCCAACGCTGGTATTCACAGTTCAAATCTTCCCTTCCTTTCTGAAAACGCATTACACAAAACATAGCTGCTCCCAAAAAAACCCCTAATCACTCAAAATCTCCTCTCAAAAACTGCATTCCCCAAAAACAGAGCTCGAATTAAACCCTAATCGAAAATCAGAACGTTGGAAAACAGAAAAAGGGAAGTCGAATCCAGGCTGAAATTTAAGGGGAAAAAAAAAAAAAAAAACGATTCCGTCCTGCTGTTGCTCCCGTCTTCTCGTGATTATGTTTTTATATTATCCCACAACCAACCATATTGAGTGTCCATTAATGCAAAGTCGAATCATATCAAAGCCCGTAAGAGAGTTCTCCCCTTCCTTCTTTCTCCATTCACAAAATTTAAATTCGAGAACTTAATTAAGGAACTGAAATTCATTCCCAAAATTTAAATTTGAGATGTTAATTAATAAAATCGAACTCGTTTTACTTTGTTCAAATAGTTTGTTAGTAAACGAAGTTGAGGAAACGGAAAAAGGAAAAACCCAAACCAGAACTGTCATGTTCTAAAACGAGGAAGTTACGCCGGTATCGGTGCCGCGGTTTTTGCCTATCTTCTTAGGACAGTTATACAGACATGGACTTAAATTGTAAGAAAACCAGAAATAAGAGTTCCTCTTCTTCTGCTTCTTTCATCTTCAGTTCAGGTTTTCTTTTTTCGATGGTAAAAAACATAATTAATAAATTGGTATTATCAATCAAAAACTAATTTAATAATTATATACTATATTTCACTTTACTTTGCATACAGAAAAACGTAACCATTTGTACCAAGGCAGTGCATCTTCGGTTCAGGTTTTTAAATTTCGTTGTTGTCGCTTTAAGGTTTACTATTAGAACTCAAATTTCTTGTCTGGTGGGTGAAGAAACTGTGTGGATCTGATTGGGGATTATTTTTAAAGTTAAAAAATTGAAGAAATTGTTTTAAAAAATGGAAAAAAAATGTTTTCAGAATACATAATTGAAATAGCAGGCGCGATACTTATGCGGGCACTTGGGTTGGGACATAGATTTTGCATTTGTTAGGATTCTCTTTCCTTTTTCTTTTTTTTTTTTGATAAATCACAAAACTATTATTGGACTATATTTACTTTTTTTCATTTTAAATGAAAAGTGTATAAGTATAGTGTATAAATCCTAAATAAATATATATAAAAGTGTACAAATTATACACAACATAAATATTTAGATTTAGTTATAATACAAAATCTTAAAAAAAATCTGAAAAAATCCATCATATATCAAAGTCAAACACATAATCTCAAAGGTTATGGACTCTTAGATATTATTAACGCTACTCTATATTCTATATTTAATTTTTGAATTTTATGTAGTGTTCTTCTTATCCCCTCTCCGATTGTCCAATCTAAATTTTTCGTCTTTTATGTAATGCTTTTAAACTGACTAGTAATACAGGAAACAAAATTTTGGAGTAAAATATAAGATCAAAATTTAATAAATTAATATATATAATATTATAATGTGTTATAAAATAATATAAAATTTAATTTTTAATATTTTAAATAATATAATTTATATTCTATATTTTTTAATAAATTATATCATATTATTAATCTTAAATTTTAATTCTAAAACTTTGATCTCATTTACTATCATCCTTTTAAACTCAACAACATGATAAAGACAAGACGATTTTTTTGAGTGCATGTTATTCAATTAAAAACTCTAACACTTACTAACAAGATTAAGGCATCACTATCAGTTAAACATTAAAAACTTGCAAGGTGAAATTTTAAGTGATCCATATTTAATTAACATACATTAATTCCACATTACAAAATTGTTATTATAATTTATCATGGTAAAAACAGCTACTAAGATTTGGTTTAATTTTGTTTACTTACTACCTACTATTCTCTTGCTTAATTATATATATATATAAATATTAGTGCATATCAATCTTGATTTTAAAAAGAAATTTAAATTTAAATTTA